AAATTGATACGAATCGTTCTTTTATACGACTTAATTTGTTGAATAAATTAGTGGGGTAAGTACCTGCAAGATGAAAACAACTTGTCATTGCACTTGGACAATTTTCTTGACATTGATTTATGGTATTGATCAGTCTTCGGTTTTCGGTACTGATTTATTTTCTCATTTTTTTATAAAACAAAAAAATTGGTGCGAATCGCTCGTTTATCCGAGTTAATTTGTTGAATAAGATTAGAGGGGTAAGTACCTGAAAAATGAGAACAAATTGTCATTGCACTTGGACAATTTTCTGATACTGATTTACGGTATTGATCGATATTCGATTTTCGGTACTGATTTACTCCTTCATTTCTCTATAAGAAAAAAAAATTCATACGAATCGTTCATTTATCCGCGTTAATTTGATGAATAAATTAAATATTGATCGGTCTTCAATTTTCGGTACTGATTTATTCTCTTATTTCTTTATAAAAGAATAAAAACTGATACGAATCGTTTTTTTATCCGACTTAATTTGTTGAGTAAATTAATGGGGTAAGTACCTGCAAGATGAAAACAACTTGTCATTGCACTTGGACAATTTTCTTGACATTGATTTATGGTACTGATCAGTCTTCGGTTTTCGGTATTGATTTATCTTCTCATTTTTTTATAAGACAAAAAAATTGATACGAATTGTTCGTTTATCCGAGTTAATTTGATGAATAAATTAAATATTGATCGGTCTTTAATTTTCGGTACTGACTGATTCTCTAATTTCTTTATAAAATAATAAAAATTGATACGAATCGTTCTTTTATCCGACTTAATTTGTTGAGTAAATTAGTGGGGTAAGTACCTGCAAGATGAAAACAACTTGTCATTGCACTTAGACAATTTTCTAACGCTGATTTATAGTATTGATCAATATCCGGTTTTCGATACTGATTTAGTCTTTGATTTCTCTATAAAAGAAAAAAAGATTGATACAAATTGTTCATTTATCCGCGTTAATTTGAAGAAAAAATTAGATATTGAACGGTCTCCGATTTTCGGTACTGATTTATTTTCTCATTGTTTTATAAGACAAAGAAAATTGATACGAATCGTCCGTTTATCCGAGTTAATTTGTCGAATAAGATTAGAGGGGTAAGTACCTGAAAAATGAGAATAAATTGTCATTGCACTTGGACAATTTTTTGATACTGATTTATGGTATTAATCGATATTCGATGTTTGGTACTGATTTACTCTTTCATTTCTCAATAAGAAAAAGAAATTTATATGAATCATTCCTTTATTCGCGTTAATTTAATGAATAAATTAAATATTGATCGGTCTTCAATTTTCGGTACTGACTGATTCTTTAATTTCTTTATAACAGAATAAAAATTGATACGAATCGTTTTTTTATCCGACTTAATTTGTTGAGTAAATTAATGGGGTAAGTACCTGCAAGATGAAAACAACTTGTCATTGCACTTGGACAATTTTTTTGACATTGATTTATGGTATTGATCAGTGTTCGGTTTTCGGTATTGATTTATCTTCTCATTTTTTTATAAGACAAAAAAGTTGATACGAATCGTCCGTTTATCCGAGTTAATTTGTCGAATAAGATTAGAGGGGTAAGTACCTGAAAAATGAGAACAAATTGTCATTGCACGTGGACAATTTTTGACACTGATTTATGGTGTTAATCGATATTCGATTTTCGGTACTGATTTGCTCCTTCATTTCTCTATAAGAAAACAGAAAGTTAATACGAATTGTTCATTTATCCGCGTTAATTTGGTGAAAAAATTAGGTATTGATCGGTCTGCGGTTTTCGATACTGATTTATTCTGCCATTTCTTTATAAGAAAAGAAAAATTGGTACGGATCGTTCGTTTAACCGAATTAATTTGTTGAGTAAATTAGAGTGGTAAGTACCTGAAAAATGAGAACAAATTGTCATTGCACTTGGACAATTTTCTGACACTGATTTATAGTATTAATCGATATTCGGTTTCCGGTACTGATTTATTTTCTGATTTTCTTAAAAGACAAAAAAATTAATACGATCTTTCGTTTATCCAAGTTAATTTGTTGAATAAAATTAGAGGGGTAAGTACCTGAAAAATGAGAACAAATTGTCATTGCACTTGGACAATTTTTTGACACTGATTTATGGTATTAATCGGTATTCGATTTTCGATACTGATTTATTCTTTCATTTTTCTACAAAAAAAAATTCATACGAATCGTTCATTTATCCGCGCTATTTTGATGAATAAATTAAATATTGATCGGTTCAATTTTCGGTACTGATTTATTCTCTCATTTCTTTATAAGACAAGAAAAATTGATACGAATCATTCGTTTATTCGAGTTAATTTGTTGAGTAAATTAGAGGGATAAATACCTGAAAAATGAAAACAAATTGTCATTGTACTTGGACAATTTTCTGACACTGATTTACGGTATTGATCGATATTCGATTTTCGGTACTGATTTACTCTTTCATTTCGCTATAAGAAAAGAAAAAAATCATACGAATCGTTCATTTATCCACGTTAATTTCATAAATAAATTAAATATTGATCGGTCTTCAATTTTCGGTACTGACTGATTCCCTAATTTCTTTATAAGAGATTAAAAATTGATACGAACAATTGATACATTCTTTTATCCGACTTAATTTGTTGAGTAAATTAGTGGGGTAAATACCTGCAAGATGAAAACAACTTGTCATTGCACTTGGACAATTTTCGTGACATTGATTTACGGTATTGATCGATATTCGATTTTCGGTACTGATTTACTCTTTCATTTTCCTATAAGAAGAGAAAAATTGATACGAATCGTTCGTTTATCCGAGTTAATTTGATGAATAAGTTAGATATTGATCGATCTTCGATTTCGGTACTGATTTACTCTTTCATTTCTCTATAAGAAGAGAAAAATTGATACGAATCGTTCGTTTATCTGAGTTAATTTGTTGTGTAAATTACAGCTGTAACTATCTTGAAAAATGGGAACAAATTGTCATTGCACGTGTGCAATTTTTTGACACTGCTTTATGGTATTAATCGGTATTCGATTTTCGGTACTGATTTAGTCTTTCATTTCTCTATAAGAAAACAGAAAATTAATACGAATCGTCCATTAATCCGCGTTAATTTGATGAATAAATTAGGTATTGATCGGCCTTCGATTTTCGGTACTTATTTATTCTCTCATTTCTTTATAAGAGAAGAAAAATTGGTACGATTCGTTCGTTTAACCGAGTTAATTTGTTGTGTAAATTATAGCGGTTACTATCTTGAAAAATGAGAACAAATTGTCATTGGACAATTTTCTGACACTGATTTATGGTATTAATCGGTATTCGATTTTCGATACTGATTTACTCTTTCATTGCTTTATAAGAAAAGGAAAAATAGATACGAATCTTTTATTTATCCGCGTTAATTTTTATTTTTTTTTTATTATATATAAGTGGTCCATGGAACGATTAAATATTCGAATACATGTTGCCGTATCAAAGTTTCCTCTATAATAAACGATTTGACGCGTCTGGAGACGCATGATGTATCGTTGCCCGCATCCCATTCCCTTCGTCCTGCTTCCCTGTATAAAATGTCGAGTTGAAACGTATTAAAAAGTATTGACATTTTGAATATGTCTGAATTCTGAATCTTTTTGATCCAAAGAAAAGGATTGAAAAGTTTTAGTTCCTATTAAATTTTACTGCGCTAAATGCGAGACGGTCTCTTTCGCCCGGCTGCCTGACCACGAAAATTTCTCTGGTACGCTAAATCCCATCAGGGCCCATAAGGCCATCAGTCTTTGTAGTATATCTCGTCGGTGCATAAGGTTTATATTACCTGTACATACATATTTTGAAACATTTTCTTTGGATATTATATCAAACGGATTTTGCGTGTCACGTAATATCCTTCGGACTACACGGACATTATTATTTTGATCATTTTGATTTCTTTGGTATTCATTGAATTATCCAGAACGCGCAACTGCCATGTTGAACGACTCAATTGTCGTGTGAAATGTTTCGATTTTCACAAATTCATATAAAATTTTTCATTTTTCACTGATTCACAGAAGTCTTTCACTTTTTATTAGTTCACGCTAGGGAAAAGATTTATGATCGCTGCCCCGAGCAGCTGCAACGCTTTTCGAATCATCTATGTCGGCGCGCTTTTACTCCTCAGATTTCTGTCATTAATAACTCGATAATTATTACGAATCTCGCAAAATGATATGGGACTTTTATATTTGTCTTAACCCAATCTACTTTCGGTACCGTTGTAGCACGGACATAAACCGCCTAAAAATGGATGTAGCACGGACTGCCACCACATACAGGTTTTACCGCCGGAATCTGAAATCGGATGTAGCATCGTAGTTCCCCTCTCAAAATGAATGCAGATGACGTCCTTTCCCAGTGCGGAAAGTCGGTGTCGTCGAAAACACCGTGTTGGCCGCTCTCACGTTCCTCTCTGCTAGGACCTTTCAATCAGATACTGGACATAAGAGAGTCAGTTTTGATTAGTCCTTTCGTGTTTCATCAAATCATATACAGTACGCAATCACAATAGGGTTATCTTAGGTTCAGAAGAGATAGACAAAGAAAGAGATTGAAAATATGTCTCTATTTCTCTTGCAAGATTTTGATAAAACCTCAGTTAGGGCTATGGTACATAAAAAAACATAAACAGTAAAATTTAAACAGTAAGGAAATTAGCTAATCACGATCAATTATTCTCCGACCGTAAGGAGAATCGTCGATTGTGGTTGGTCAATTTACTTATTGCTCACGTTTCACTGCTCGTTTTTTTATGTGCCATAGCCTTAACAAAGCAGTTTTCTCTGTTGAACGCAGTCAAACTATGTTTTGGTTCGTATCGAATCAATTGATATTTAAATTTTTAAACGATACGTTAAGGTATTGTAATTTAAAATATCGATACAAAGTATCGAATATCAAATGGCTGACGTATCGATATTTTTAAATATCGATTCGGATCGGAACATCCCTAATGGACGCAAAAGAACATAACCTCTGACAGGGATTCATAACGTCAATGCGAACAGTGTGCGGTAGTCTTTCAACATTTATTGATAAATCTAAATTAATACTATGACAAGAATAAAGTACTATAAAGAAGCAGTATATAAATAACTGGAGAATTAATATCGTTAGTTATGATGGCTGCTTGGATCAGTATAACTCCAAAGTAGGTGTATTTTGATATTGCATCTATTGTCAATGCGCGTAAATACATTTATACAATACTCTTTCCCATAATAATCATTATTCTTTAAATATTGTGTTTCTCTAGATTAGAGCAAGGTTTAAAGGTAGTGAGCCGTATGGATAATAGCAAATTCCGGCTTCTGGTCAACCGTATATGCCAAAGCCTGCAAACTAGCAACAATACGAAAGTGTTCAATGAGGAAGAGGAAGAGAAATTATTGATTTCTTTAGATCTGACGAAAGATGAGCTAACTCTTCTATTGGATACCGTAACATCAATTTATACACAAGCTGCATGTAATATTGTCAAACCATCTATCATGGAAGCAGTTATGAAAGATAATTTTAAGGTAGACGATGAGAAAATATCAATCTTTACAAATGCATGGATTACCCATGGAAAAGGCATTGTGGAGAATCAGAGGCAACAATCCATTTTTCCCACACAGGTATTCTTAACATATGATTATATAGTTACAAAAATATTTCATTGTAGCTTGATCACTATGGTTTATTTGTGTCATTAGTGGCAAATTAATAAGGAATTAGCTGTATTCCTCATTTATTTCAAGGTAAAAGACATCAACTGGTGTTTGAATGTTCAATCGTCATCCTCTACAATTTCCAAAGATGCACGACCTGTGGCATTACTTCAACTAGGTCTTACTGGTGATAAGACGTCTATGTTAACTGTGGAATTTGATAAGAAACAACTAACAAGTCTCTATTATAATTTAGAAAAGATTCAGACTCAACTGGATGCTCTTAAATAATAAGCTTCAGATATCTTTTGTGTATACATTTATTGTAAATAGATAATAATTTGTCATGTGAAAATAGAATCCTTGATCTTTATATAAATTATATAAATCTATTGTATCTTCTTACATATTAACATACATAAAATTAAAACTATAGAAAACTGCAAAAAACACACAATATACATATATCTATTATATACTAATTATGTGATATTACATTTATACAAAATTTACTCTGGAAGGAAGTTCTCTTGGGAGAGTTGCATGAAGTACTGACGTTCGCTCATAATGTTCATAAGAACGAAGAAAGTACACTTTTTCTTTCTTTTATTTTCTTCTTTCAGAACAACTTTTTTTTTTATTTATCATTTCCTGTGATGCGAATGAAAAAACGTCTCGTATCGGCGAGATCGGCATATTACAATCCAACGTTCTCGTATATCTTGGACGTTTCATGGATTCTCTCTGCACGATTGTAGATGCGCGGACTCCGGTTCGACAGGACGCTGTCGATATTCGACGTGCGACTGCTCTCTGCAGCCGAAAATCCAAAATTGATCTTGCCCGAATTCTCGTTGTATCTGTCGTTGCAGCATCTCGCACTCCGCTCCCTTTCATTGGATGGTAAGGTTTCCAGGATCTCCGGTGTCTTGCGGATGAAGATACGTGTCTTGCACACCACCAGCACCACGACTATTATCATCAGGAACAGGATCATGGCCGTTAGAGCACCCACGATCCATCCTAGTTTCTTATCTGTACGATATAAGGGATGTTCGATTACAATCACCGTCAACCGTAAAGATCGCGATACGCAGTGTTTGCTGTTATCTAGATAAATCTAGATAAAATTATACAGATGATCATTTAGATTTAGATGATCATATAGATAAAGTTCTAACACCAAATTATTTTTATCTAGATAATATAAATATGTATGTATTATCTTTTATCTGCATATCAAGTTGAGAATATTATCTTTACTATCTTTTTAAATTACTTAAGATAATTCAGTCTACGTTGCTGCAAATGTTTAAATATTTGTTTTTGTGTCATTAGACACTTGCGTTAAGATAGGACTTGAGATTGCATTGGGATTCGTCCGTAATCAGGACAAAGCGCTGAGAAGAATTTACATATCTCCTCTTATCTTATCTGGCTAACTTTTTCAAAAATCGTTCTGGCACAACACTGGCGACGCGCAAGGATAAGTAAGCTCTAACGAAGCTTTTGCAGCGAACCTGCCAAGGTATTTAGCAGAACGAGCGATGCATTTCCTATCTCTATTTCGGCGTTCTCATTAGTGACGGTGAACTTGCAGGTCCATTGTCCCAGGTCGGAGTGATCCGGTTTGAAGACTAGTTTACATACACCCGTGATGTAATCCATTTGCACGTTGTGCCTGCGCCGCGATAGAAACAAGAACAGATGAATAAAAGCTGATTTCCACTATTCTACTACTACTTTTATATTTGCACAAATAAGTATAATTTTCGAGTCATCTCTAATGTTTCTTGTATAACAGATTCTTCCAAGACCCGAATACGGGACCTGAATAATGGCAAATGGGACAATCGTAACCATGTTGCAATTCAGAATTAATGCGATCCACAGAGAGGAAAACATGTTCAGTTAAATGAGCCAATTTTCTAACGAAATATGAACGATTCAGAAATCCCGATCGAGAATACCAGAATTCCGTTTAAGCCAAGCAGGAATCTTGATCATTTGGGCTGAATCTTAACAACTTTAGCCGGAACTTCTGAATCGTTCGTATTCATCGGAAAATTCTTTCAACTAAATATTTCTCTCTTTCTCTCTCTCTCTCTCTCATGTGCTATTATTATTGAATATATCGCGCATCACCTCATCTTCTTCGCTTGCTGGGGCTTGCTGGAGTTCTGATGTATATGAATTTTTGGAGCGTGTATCCAATGGCATTTAGTCTCCGACGATACGACTCCGACTCTACACGCGAGAGTAACCATCTGATGAGGTGTGGCCCAAACTGCGACAGTAACCGGCTCTAAAAATGACCGAAATGTCGGCGATCATTGCCGGAATCCACTCGCCGGTTTCTCGACGGTTTCAACCCTTGCAGCCTCGAGTTGTATAGTGCAGCCCGATCTGGTGATCTTGCGGATCTACAGCCGGGTCTACACTAGTTTACGTTTGTCCCGATATTTCAGGTCTCCACGGTATAGAGAAATACTTGACTTGGCTTTCGGCTTGGTCCAGTTCATTTTTTCAGGGGGAGGAACAACCTGCAACTGAATCTGATGGTTCAGGTTATTTCTTCCTCCCCGAAGAAGCGAACTGGAATGTTTACGGAACTGGGACGAAACGGAAACAAATCCACAACAGACGTGGCGCTAACTCGGAAAAATCAAGTAATTCATGTTTATTTGTCTATGGCAAAAGCAAAATTTCATCTTCTCTAAACACGAGTTTCCAAATTGGTCGGAACAACATCGTAATTCCACATACAATTCTCTAACGTTTCTTCCTTTATGATAAATTAATGTATCATGATCATTAATATCATCAGTATTATTATAACGTATGTGCGTTCTTTCTCTCTTAAATGAATCGATATAACGCGAACCTCTCGACGTGAATTACTCTCGAAGCTCGAGGGTGAAAACCTTCCTCTCGTAGAAAGTCTTCTTTTATCATCCCACTCACCCAAAAAGCCGCTAGATCTTCTATGCAGTTTTTCCGATGAGCGAACCACCTTGGCTACCAACCACCATTCGCTTGTGCATCGATGACTTTTGTGTGAGACTTGATAAGTGCTAGAATCGCGTTAGAGCGTGCATTCGCCGATTTCGCGTGTGTTAATCGCATGTGTTTGTTAAGTCGTCTTCGGAGGGAAACTTCGCGGGCGCCAGATTCATGAGAGACTCGCGTATCACTTCAACGAGAAGAGACATCGTGAGACATTCTGTATTAATGCCTCGAGAATGTTGAAGCGTTTCGTAAAAAGTATAAAGGATGATTCACTTTTAAGGCTTTCGATCCTTCGCAGTGGGACTCTTGTCCGGTGACGTCAGAAGTGAAGAAATCCATGCTAAAAATTGGGATTGCGTCGGAAGAAAAAGATTTATCCATACAACGACATCTCACGAAAAACAGTTAAATATGTTTTAAATATGGCATCATATTTGTTCTTTATGTGGGCCAAATTAAACTCAAATAAAAACCAAGTTAAGTGTTGGTTAGAATCTTATTTGTTTCGAATATAAAATAAAATTTGGACTCAGTTTTGGTTAGGTGCATGTTATAATATTAATATGATCTATACAGAATTTAAACGAGCCAGGCAAAAATTTCGAAAAATATGAAAGATATTAATAAACGTCAGACAAAATTGTATGATTTTCACTGATCATTACTTTTCTTAAATGGAAACCCCAATTTTTTATTATCATTATTTTCTACCTATTAATTTTAATAACTTTTGTCTGAAATATTTCTCAGTATCTTTCTCAGTATTTTTCGAAATTTTTGCCTGGCTCATTTAAAATGGAACATCCTATATATGCACTTGGACAAAGTTAATCTAATAGCAGGATCATATTTAAATTTCATTTGGATGCGTATTAAGGATACATGAATTGACACATGAAGGACATTTGAATTAAATTACTTTTAAATTTAATATTTGGTTTTTATTTGAATTAAATTACTTTTAAACTTAATATTTGGTTTTGATTGGTTTATTTGAATTAAATTACTTTTTTATTTAATATTTGGTTTTTATTTGAATTAAATTACTTTTCAATTTAATATTTGGTTTTTATTTGAATTAAATTATTTTTTAATTTAATATTTGGTTTTTATTTGAATTAAATTACTTTTTAATTTAATATTTGGTTTTTATTTGTGTTTAACTTGGCCCATGTAAAGGACAAATATGATGCCATATTCAAAACATATTTAACTGTTTTCCGCGGAATTTGCAGTCGGTTAAGCACACTATCCAAAATGCTCCGAGAACTTTATTTTTTCTAACAATCAGTGAATAATGATCAAAGTAACATAATATGCAACATTTTCCTTCTTAACCTATCCTATCTTTTCTCATCATTTTATCACGTTGGTTTTTCGTCTGTTTGCTGATTTCTTCGACAAAAGAGAAGTTTCCGGAGCATTTTGGAAATGTGTTCAATCGATCGTGCAATTTTACGGATATAACTTTTTACTTTCACGTAATCCGACGTAATTTTTAGCGTGCATTTCTTCGTTTCTGATGTTATCATTCAAGATGGCTGCGACGAGGAAACGGAACGGAGCTTAAAATACGATGTAACAACTCGAGACAATTCATCGAGATGACAGCTATTCGAGTTCTTTCGTAAGTCTCACACTTTTTTGGAGAATCGGCGCTCGCGACGTTTCGCTTTGAACGTCTCGAACGAACCGTCAAGATTCGACCGCGTTGTGCAAAACACATACACGCGTTCAGGACCCCCCCAAGGAGAACAGGAAATAGGATTACATGAAATCACTGTAAAAATAACGAGAAAGTGATCGGATCATGGTAAAAAAAGAAAAAAATGAGTTTCGGTAATCATTTTCTCGTCATTTTGACAACATCGTGATTTCCCGTCCGATTACCTGCCCGGGGACGCTTTCGAGCATGACAGGACCAAGTTTCCTGCAAGCTTCTCCAGGTGCGAGTGGAGCTTGGCGCGCGTGCGGTTGTCAGTGAATCCGGAATGATCGAAATGAGGAGGCCGCCGTGACGTTTTCGCACACTATTATTTATTCATGGACACAAAAACAGCTTACACAGCAACTCGGGCCGCTCGTCTGAGAACGCGCGGGACTTAGCGATACTTAATGGCACATGAAGATTCATACGCTCCGCGAGTAAGTCGTTGCTCGAGCTCGATCACGTTCGTGTCTCGTCCTGATTCTTTGTGGGACACAGCCGTCCTGATCTCCAGCCTGATTTCCAACGTGCGGATGAAATTCGCGCTGCGTCGCATCGGATGTGCACGAGGTGTGCGATAAAGAACGGTATGAGGTTCGAGGAAAGAGGAGCGTGTGCGAGTCCGCAAGAAGTATATCGAGCGATGACACCGTTCCTGTATCGCAGGATCGCACAGGCGCACGCGGTGACCTTTGCTTGTTGCCGAGAGCAACGAGCTGAGCGAACGTTACTCGTCGTGAACATGAATTTTCTGGACGCTAAACGCCTTAACTCTAAAAATTGTCTACTTAGCATTAGATGTAGTAACGGCTATAGTCGTGAGTAATAATGAAGTATTCGTAACGGACGTGTGCCAAGATCAGCCTCGAGCTAAACAACAAACGCTAACGGATAATCGTGACCGCGCGCGCGCGTGATGTGTTTGAAATTCAAGAGGAAGGGAGGGGCTCTATGCGCTTTCGGTAATAAATAATGCACGAGAGAGATACGAGGAAAGGGGCGTACCCCGCGTGTATGCGGCGCACTCGTGCCAATTGATCGCCGATGGCCACGCGCAATATCCTGAAGAGTCAAGATCTGGAAATTCGCAAACTGGGACAATATCTCCCGAAAGATCCGAGATGTAACACCGAAACCCGTGTTGTAATTATAAACTGAAAACTGTATGGACATGCACTGTCCTGAAAAATCAAAGTCTCGAAATTCGAAAATGGCAAAATAAGACAACTTGCCGAAAAGTTGTGATGTCGAGACCGGAGTATAATATAATTTTCCTAAAATGTATAATTATTCCAAAAAGTTATACTGCTTCGGAGACACATAGATATTATTTATCCATCAATTCCAGTCCTTCGTTGAGATGTACAGACATTAATGCGCCCAGGTGTACAGAGTGTAACACATATAGGTCAGTATGACGGGTTGCCTGCCCCTATTCGAACGTTTTTGATCGATGACAACAATCCAGTCTTATTTTCGATGAAAGAGGCGTTAAGATAGAAGACCGAAAATATGACCGCTTAATAGATGTCGTCGGTTAAGTTGCAATCAATATTTATACTGTGTTTCTGGCCGATCCATACTTTTGCAGAAGCGACCTTTTGTAGAAACATGGATGGAATATAGACTGATATTCATAGTCGGATCTTATATTTATTCCTCTTCTTTTAGTAGGATTATGTCCTGTTCATATTTTTAGTTCCGAGATCGGTTATTATAAAAACTGTGAGCATTTTTAAGTTCCCTAAGTCGGTTGCTAGCCGGGCTAGTAGGTTAGCTTAGGTTTAGATCGGCATGAATGTGGGCGGTTTGACATAAGTCAGTACGTACTGAGGTATATACTTTATGATACTTTATGGTACTGAGGCAGATACCGGCCATGAAGTGAATCCACTGTTTAACGTCTTCAGTTATATTTGAGACCGTCTTAAATTCATTTTTAGATGTTACACAAATTATTTCATTGGCTACAATGTACTGTCTAAGTTAATGAACTTAAGACGGTCTTAAAATATAAGATCTGACTATGAATACCGGCCATTGTATATGACTTCTCTAAATAATTCTATACCGTTCTTTCTAATCTTCAATTCCTATCGAACTTTTCAACGCAAGAAAGAAACTAAGAAATTACGTGAAATAAAACAATATGTCGTATTATTTATCTCCTTAACTATTACTCTGTAATTAAATCCGTAATGTTTATTTCTGTTTTATTTTTTTAAACATTTTTTTTAATTCAACGAGGCTCGACTCCCGTTAAATAAACGGTCAATAAACTGTTATAACGATCATTGCCAATATCATTATCGACAAAGTCAACGAGTGACTTTTTCGGCAATCCCTGCATTATCGTCCGAATAGGGGCAGGCAACTCGTCATGCTGACCTATATGTTACATCCTGTACATGCGGATATCTATCCATCCATTTACGTTCTTCGCTGAGATTTGCAGATAATAATGCGCCCGGGTGTACAATGAGACGGTTTTAATATTTCGGTAGCTTTGTAATATTGTATATTTCGGGGGATTATCTCGATATGTAGACCTTGATATTCCGGTTTTTCAGGAAACTGTCCTACTTTTTGTAAATTTCGGTACATTCCTCTCCGGGACAACGCGTGTCCGCCGGAAATTGCCGTACTTTGTGAACTTCGGTACGCTTTTTGTTCGGGACAACACGTGTCCAGCAATTTACGCACTATTACTAGACTATCTGGATAAAAGATTCAGGCAACCTTTAGTTTCAGCAAATATGTCGAGTCTGGTGTTGTCGGCTTGTTTATCGTCCGCGACTTGTCCGAGGTGTGTACGTATTAAAAGAGTCGTCGCGCGACAGCTGGAGTTCTAAAAGAAACGAGAATATCCGTGATGACCGCTAAGATAGAGCGAGACGATACAGACACGATATCGCGCGATTACTCCATCGCAGGTGATTTACTTCGGAATTCTTCGGAACGATAAGTTGCCCGTCCGTCGCTATGAATCCGACGTGAAGATCTTTCGCTCGATCTCTTAATCGTTCTCTATGACCTACGAATTCGAGGACAACTCTGTGCGTCACGTTGCGGAATGCGTTGAGAGCTTTCGTCCAAACGATTTCCTCGCGCCAAGGGACGACGACTATTAAGGCTAGCGCGATCGGCTCGCGCTCTGTCTACCTAGAGCGACTATTCGCTACGCTAAATGCAAAATCGTTCGAGCCGTTAAGAACATAAATAAGATGGAGTGAGAATGACATCGTTGATGGCGAATGTTTAACAGCATGATGGGGAGTGCGCTTCGACGCGTCTACATCGTGAAGCTGCTCGTCGACTGAAAACAAATGTACAAAAATAAAAAAGAAAATCTTGCCCGACGCTCAAACGGAACACGAAACTCAGCATCTCAGACATTTCCACCGCTCTAATCAGCGGACATGCATTGTCCCGAGATATCCAAATATCGAAAATTGAAAATTTCCTGGCGAGATGTCATAAATTCGAATATTGAGACAAAATATCTTGAGAAACAATTTTTCATAAATGCGCAATTGTTTTCAGGAGAAAGTGTCAGCTCGAAAACGGTGCACGTGTTGATATCTGCTCACTCGCGTCACACTCTCGAGCAAACTGAAATTAGACGAAATGTGAATAATATTTTGGTGTCTTCTGTTTTCTTTTATATTCTGTTACGTAACCTTGTTTCTCTGGCTTTTCTCGTTTCACCTTGCCTCGAGATTCGGATTTCGAGTATTATGACTTTTCTAGGGAAATTGTTCCACTTTTTAAATTTCGATGCCCTTTCTCTCGGAACAATGCACATCCACCCTCCGAATCTATTGACATGAAACTCGCTCGACGAGCGGATCCGACACATCCCACCCACGATAGTCTTCGGGATGTTGGGCGAGGATCCACGATCGATCGGCGAGATCGGTACTTTCACTTTCGCCGCGCGCGACTCCTGGCCGATTGGCTTTCCATCGCGGATCCTCGCTATTCGAACCCGGATTTACAAGTCGATGATCGAATCGATATCCGAAGTCAATGATTTTTCGGATCGTTCGATTTGATAAAGACTCGAATTCGCATGACGATCGTGTCGATGTATAGTCGGTATTTATATATCGATTGATCGATTATTAATGATCTAGTCAGTATCTGTCAATCGATATACGAACGTATCGACTTCGACTTGAGTATGATATAAATCGAATAACGACTAAATATCGTCGACATCTACACAATGGCTCTATTCTTTTTAGCTGCACTGCTGAACTGGTGCAATAGGTTAGAGTGAGAAAAAATATAGAGTTGCCTCGCTCTAACTTATTGCACTAGTTCAGCAGCGCAGCTAAAAAGAACAGACGAAAGACCTTCCAGATATTAAGCGAAATCTTTGAGATATCGAATAATCGATTGTTGCTTTCTACACGATTTCAACTTGACTTCGACTTGGATTCTTTATCGACTTGTTGACCCGAGGAGTACACACAGATGTGGGACGATGAATGTGCGCGTCTTGTCTTTCAATCGGGACGATCGGGACAGCTATATATCGTGTTGTCGGTCAGCTCCACAAATGAGAATGATGATACCGATGAGGCAGAGACATCTCAGAGATATGTCGCTTACAAAGTAAACCAGTCGAGAGCGATCTATTTTCTCAAATGAAATCCTTGATATGGTCTGACGAGCAGAAGGCATCTCGAGGTCGTGAAGATTCGTTCGATTTTCCGCGACACGAGAGCTCGTCGTCATTCAATCGACGTTCGCCAGGACGTCGCGAGGCTTCGCCCGAGGTCTAGACGACTGCAGATAATCGCGAATTCATGGTCTACACCTGTGTACACACTTGCTTGCAAAATGGTTTAGACACAATGAAATAAAGAGCTTAGCGAATTGTCACGATCGAGAGCCGCTATTGATAGGCCTGCAGGCGGTGATCGGTTATGACAGGAGAGCTGAAGTGACAGTGCACGGTGTAAAGGTCGAGCTTTTATCACGTCCTTATCTGACAGATGAGAGAGTATCACGCGACACTTATAGTTTTTCCTCAATTCTCCGTTGCAGTTGTGACGTCGGCTGTTTCGCGCGCTGTCACTTCGGCTCTCATCGTGACCGATTTGCCGAGGAAAAAGTAAGTGAAAATGAAAATATGCAGGTAGAGAAGAAGAAGAAGAAGAAGAAGAAGAAGAAGAAAAAGAGGAAAACAACATGAGAATGCATTGCCTTCGTGTTCCGAAGCTGCCGAGTTACGTCGCTCGTCGCCAGTCAATTCGCCGAGTTTCACGAAGGAGATTACTCCTGCCCGAAGGACAAGGTCCTCTCGCACACGGTGGCACGCGTATCCTTATGACGCGAGGTCCCCTTCGCGTATTTCGCGCGATGAAACGATCGATGATCTCGATGGGGCGCGTAACGTGACAAAATATCCGTTTCGGGCGTATCAGGCTTTAGAGAAGTGCGATGTGTCGCGAGCACTGCGATTTGTCCTTCCTCCAGTACGTAATACGATAAGCAATTGGATTTTTTTATCGCAATCGCGCCTGCGATTCAAAATCACACGCTGCTCGAAGTTGCACTTGTAAGCGCGAAAAGTCGCATGCGACTTGAAATTGGATATGATGAAAATCAAAGTGACTCTCGATGCAAAATCGCGTTTGCGATATGAAGTCGCATTTATGCATTTTATGATACAAAACTGTGTGTTGCAGCTTAAGGTACTTCTACCCACGTCATTTTGATCGTAATGTCAGAAACGAGAAAATCACACGTTAAAAATCCTTGCGTGCTATTTTCAGATAAAAAGATAGTTGTATGAAAGGATACTTCAAATCGCTAGAGTATACTTGTAAAATGCTCCGAACATTATTCTTCTCCCTTTCAGTCAATCAACAACCGTAAAGTGACTATGAAATGAGGTTTAGTCACATGGAATGATTGCGCATGCGCGTTATACTATTTCATGGCTGTATTTCATGGCTGTCGATTGACCATCAAGAAAGCAGAATAGTTGCCGGAGCATTTTACAAGTATGCTTAAGTGATTTGAAAAATATCCTCTCATACAAATATTTTTTTATTCAAGAATGACACAAGAATTTTCAGCGTATCATTTCTCATCTCTGACGTTACAATGCGATATGGCCGTGGCATGGAGACATGAATCTTAAGGTCGCAACCTTAATTCAATTTTTAACGACGGCGTCAGAAGCGAGAAATCCCAAAATTTCTATGGATTACGTCAAAATAAAAAATATATCTGTGAAATACCACTTGCGATCGATTGGGCACTACTCATTTTCAAAATACGCCGGAAACTTTTTTCTTGCCGAAGCAATCAACAAATAAGTGGAGAATCAACGTGCCAAAATCATAAGAAAAGATAGATTAAGAGGGAAAGTTTGCGTATCATGTAAATTCTACGGTTATCTTCTGATTGTGTTGGAGCGAGAGCAAAGTTCTCGGAGCATCTTAGAAATGTGATCAGTCGATTGCAAGTGTCATTCTCTAAATATATCTCTCGATCTCGACGTATGCCGTAAGAAGCTTACGCGCGGATTTCCTTTTCTTCTGCCGTCATCAGCCAAGAGTTTCGCGACGGAGGGCCAGAGCCAGGGCGACGGAGCCTTTAGAAAGATCGCATCGCGGTGCGCAGTCTCGTAAATCGCATTCCTCTACCAGAGATCGCCCGCCAGATCCAAGTATTCGTAGAAAGCGAACCTTGACAGTACGTAACCAGTGTGGCTCACGATACACGTTCGACTCGCGTGCACGATACCTGGAGAGAGAATCGGGGAGGTCTCCATGTACCGCGACAACGCGGCGACGCGATGACGCGGTGCTTCCCGTGCGCTCCACCCTTCACCGTGGCGGAGAAGCGGCGCTGGATCGTCTCAGGTCGACGATCCAGCTACTCGACGATACCTGGCTCGAGGAGGCTCAGTTTCGCGGGTGGTGCGTCTGTGTAGTTCTGCCGGCCGCGTATCCTGGCGCCACAGGTCCACAGGCCCTCCTGCTCGGCGAGAGCGTGGCTGAGACGGACGCTGCAGTCCCGAGCCTCGTTCCCGGCCGCCGGGAACTGCTTCACCACCACCGTGGTGTTGGAGTTCACCGGGGTGAGAGACCAACGGCACTGCTCCACCGTCGAAGAGGTCACGCAGCGCAGCAGGACGCTGCCGCCGGACGAAATCTGGATGTCCTGCGATAGCTCCGAGAACTTTACTTCGTCTGGAAGAAGATATTATTATTGGGTAACCAAAAAAATATGCGGTTTTGTGCATTGAAAATTAAACCATATGCTCCGTACATGGATCCATTTTCAATCATGCTGAAATGAAAGGTTATATGGGCTCGTCGTGCACAAATGTCAGTGTAGAAAAGCTAACGTATAAAAACGAAAAACATTTTTGCTCGTAAAACCATACTAACGTATGTAGTATAATGGATGCCATCTATCCACATTGGCAAGAACTTATCTAATATTAAGTAAGACACAAATTTTGATGAATTCCATGACAGAAAATTTTGTGTGTGTGTGTGTGTGTGTGTGTGTGGACTAAATAATTTTATTAAAAACGACTTATTCATTCGACTAAGTAATGTCATTTTCTACTATCCAATAGTATATTATACACATCTATATATTTGTAAATATTTACCACAAAACTGAATCGGTCACGACATTTTTTATTTGCTAGGCAAAGCTTTCGCGCTCATTCCCAATATCTTCAACTTATTTTCTTGTTAACTATAATTTTCTACTATATAACATCAATAAATGTCAGGCAACTATGCAGATAAGATGCACATAAACGCAGATAAGACGTATTTAATAAAGATGTGCGAATTAAGAATTTTTATGTCGAATCGAATCGAGTCGAGTCTCATTTTTTAAATTCGAATTCAAATCGAATCGAATCAAATGAAATCGAATCAAATCTTTAAAAAATTTAACATGACTATTAAACATGCAAATAATGATGGAAGATTTTAATATGAAAGGGAATATTGATATTGTAATATCATCTTAAAGTAAAATATATATTTAAATAATTAAAGTAATTTATAATTAAGTTATTAATTATAAGTTAAGTTAATTACAAATTAAATTTTTAAACATACAGGTTCAGATGGCCCGTTTTGTAGCTGATGCACACCAACGATCATGTATTTGATTCCTATTCGAATTATTTGAATTCGAATCATAGGGATTCGGATTCGAATTCGAATAGTTCACACATCTCTAGTATTTAAATAGATTTTAGACATTCTTCAAGCATGTGATGACTGAAAGACAAAATTTTTTGAAAATTTCCTTATATATTTCATTGCATTTTGTAAATTAAGAAGAATAAAAAATTATTCTTGAGTCAACGAAGTGAACTTTACATAAATGTTGTGTGTGAAGTCACTAAGATTATATTTTTATTTCAAGTGAGATATTTTAACATAAATGCAAAAAATGGAACTAAGGTTGGAAGGAAATGTCCGGACGGAAAAGTAACCAGATATTTAAGCGCAGGTCATTACAAAAAATATAATATATAATATTAAGAATAGTTTTGATATAAATATTTGCATTTATTCGAAAACTTAAGATTCCCTTAAATAGAGAAAAATGATTTGAAAACCAGTGTATATCTGTTATTAGTGAAATATTCACACAAGTAATGAAGCGCATTAACGTACGAGTGATTGGACAGTTGAAATAGGTTATGGCCCAATGTTCGAATATACTTGTCCCAGTGTTTGGCCACAATTAGAAAATTAGTATGTGCTAACGGGAAATAATATAAATATAGATGCTCAAACCATAAGTGCATACTTATTTAATTAATTTTTATTTTAACACAAAAGTATCAAATTGGATATATCTTTCTTCCAACTAATTCGTCAAATATTGTTGGAGTTTCTTTTTTATAATAATTATTACTTCCATTCATTATTATTAAAATAAATAATAAATATTTATTTTCGAAGTGGTCGGATACTGAGACGTGTCCGGCCACTGGGACGTTTACCTTAGTTGCAATTGCTGCATCTGTCATCATTGATTACGAAGCAATTGAAGACGAACTGAGAAGACGATCTTGAACGTAAGTCACTGGACGGACACTCACCTTGCTCGAAAACCGTGAGTTTGGCCGGCGGCGACGTCAGAACGGTGTTGAGCGACGCGATCGACACTTGGCAGCCCCAGTGGCCTTGCTTCTCCACGTACACGTGCGGGAGATTCAGCGAGCAGTCGCGACCGAGGTCGCCGTTACTCGGGAATTCCTCGACGACGATCTCAGAATCGCTGCTGTGTAGCGGACGCCAGGTCCACGCGCACTTTTCCACGCGACTACTGGTGACGCATTTCAGCGTGGTCTCCGTGCCAACCAGCACCGCCATGTCCGTCGGCACTTGGACGAAATTCACCTTAGCTAAAATTAGTCGACGTGATAACGGCATCGCGATAACGGAGTTACGAGACACGAATTAAGCACGTTCGCGCTATGGCGCCCCGGCGGATAAGCTGACGAAGCCTCTTCTCCTTCTCTTTGTCGAGGCACGTAGAAAAGATGAGCAGCCGCGCGAACTCGGAGAAATTCTTCACGGTGCGTGACGGACGTTAAATGCCGAGTTCTCTCTACTGATTGCCGATTACATTCTCTCGTAGTAATTGATTATTAGAGTCTTAGAAACTTGGAGAACATAGCGGAAGAAAACGAGATCCGCACTCGCGGATGTGCTTTTCACTCTGAAGTCGAAATCAGGAATCGTAGAATTTGGCAATAAATATTCGCCAGTCACCAAATCTGAATTTAAATCCAATTTGAAGTCATACCAAAGTCACGTCCTTTCAACACAACGATTTCCGATGTCACGAATTTTATAAGGAGAAAAATGTTTTCGTTTCGTGAGACAACTTTCTAGTGAAATATGGACGATGCAGAAATTCTGACTGTTACCAAAATTCGGGTCTGAATTATCAAAATTTCTAGTTAACGTAAACGGGATATGGATATCTTTAATCAGAATTTCTGAATCGTTCAAATTTCATCAGAAAATTGATTCGTTCTCAACCAAATATTTTTCTCCGGGTATACAAACGAATTCGTTTTCCAAAAGAACCGTTTCTCGATACGACGTACAACAATCGGATCAAACGACACTCGCAGCAGGGGATCGTAAAAGTTTTAATCCTTTTCTCAGTCCTCTAGTGTAATTATTCTGAAATGAAATATTTTTTCTTTATATTTTTGTAAAGTTGATATTGAACTTTCTAAAATGCCATCCATATTATGATTCATTGGTGCACATAACTTTAAAAATAACAGTTGATACAATGAGCGACGAAAAACTTTATATTCGATACACTGCATTCGATATGAATTTCAGCAAGAAGAAATCTTAAAGCTTGTAAATTCATTTGCTCTGTTCTTGGGGAAAATATTGTATCCCACAATATTAGTTTCGTTGCTTTAAAGCTCTAGAATTCCACGAAAGGTCGAGACCGACAATTTGGAAGCGTTGTTGAGTGAAAATCTGTCCCAAACGTAAGTAGAACTTGCAAAACAGCTCGGAGTAGACCAAGCAACAATTTCGAGGCGACTTCATGAAATTGGAAAAATTCAGAAACTCGGAAAATTGGTGTGGCATGAATTGTCGCGAAACAGCATTATCCGCCGGTTGACTACGTTTCATTGCTTTCCAGAGAGTGCGAAAAAATTATTTTGTCGAAAGTTGTTACTGGCGATGAAAAGTGGATTATGTACGATAGCTCTAAACGCAGGCATTTGTGGATGAACTCCGCGTAGCCTTCTATATCAGTAACAGAACCAAATATTCAAAAGGGTCCTTTTGTGCATTCGATTAGGATGCGGAAGGTTATGTGTACACCAATAAATCATAATGAATGGCGTTTTAGAAAGTTCAGTGTCAATCTTACAAAAATGGAGGAGATACGTCAATTTAAAATAATTACATTAGATGCTGAAATAAGACTAAAACTTTTGCATACACCTGATATTTCCGGATGAAAGCGACAATGTCGTTGCGTACCAGTGGGCAAGAGGCTGACGGTGGCCGCAGGAGCCGTATGCAGGATCCCGTCGGGCGTCAAACGGACTCCGCAGGTCCATAATCCTTCCTCATCGTAAAGTATGTTTTTGAATCGCACGGAACAGTCGTGTTCGGCGTCCTTGTTCGGGCCAAATTTCTTAACCACCAGCGGTTCCTTGCTCGAGTTCGACGCCCTCCACGACCACTCGCACTGTACCACCGGCTTGTTCGCCAGGCACCTCAGAAAGACCGACTCGCCGGCAGCAACCTGCACGCCGCGCGACAGCTGCACGAACTCGACTATAAAAGGGAAACGAAAGCTCTCGGTGGTTTTTCGATCGTCCGAGCTACTCTGACGCCGGCGAACCGTGTTGAATAAAATGCTTCAGACAATACGACACGAATATTTTTCGATAACCAGCGTGTGAAAAGGTTGTCGGAAACGAGATCTCAAAAATCTGAGAGATCTGAGATATTGCAGCGACGATTTTTTACGCGAAAGATCTAAGAAATGTAAGTAATGGTTGCTTATATAAAATTTAGAGGATTTAAGCAAAGATTTTTTACATAAAATTTAGAGGATTCAAGTATTCAAAGATTTCTTGCGCAAGAAAAGTCTAAGAAACTTGAATAACAATCTCTTGTATGAAAGAATCTAAAGAAATTAAATAACGATTTCTTATGTAAAATATAAAAAGTATAAGTAACGACTTCTTGGAATTTGAGCAATTTTTTACGAAATGAAATTTAAGTAACGACTTTTTACTAAAAATCTAAGGAATCTTGAGAAAAGTTGAGTAAAGGTTTACGTAAAATCTGAGGAATTTAAATAATAGTTTCTTATTATCGCTCAAAGTACGTGTTAAATTTGTATCATCATTGTTGCAAATGGGAGGGATTGCGAGTTCAATCGATTTGTTTGGAAGAAGACACGAAAGAAAAGAAATGAAGGGAGCGATACCTTCCGATATGAGGAACCGAACAGGAGTCGACTGGGTGAAGGAGGAATTCGGGTCGATTCGCGCTCCGCAAGTCCAGTAGCCTTCCTGCTCGGGCAGGACGTTCTTGAACTTGATACTGCATTCCGTGCTGTCGTTACCGAAGGCTGGAAACGATTTCACGTCGAGGTTCCAGGGCTGCGACTGGTTGAGTTGCCGCCAGGACCACTGACATTCTCGAACCGGCGACTTCGTCTGGCACATTATCTGCGCCGAGGATCCCGCCGGCACCTCGATGATATTTTCATGCTTCACGAACGTGATGAGGATGCCTAGGAGACACGAATGCACCGATTGCATCTCTCATAGTTCTTGTGCCCTCATCTTTTACTTTGGAGGCCATTACGTATGTGCGTATAATTTACGTACATCCCTAAAGCGTACATTGCAGGCAATAATTAATCTGTAAGTAAACACACATCTCCGGACACTCGTCAATACCGACGAGTGACGGGTGACGACGGCATCTCACGTCGAAAAGTTCTTGATGCAGGAAATATTGTGACAGTAGGTATGACTGACGAAGACAAACAGCTGTGTCAAGCGTGTTTTGTCACCAAGAATTCGAGGCCGTCCGAAAGCAACTGCGTAAATACATCGCGATTATTCGCCATTCCTCGCGAGAAAATACGCCGACGATCGACGAGAGACGGTAAAAAGCGATAGCGTGATGTTTTATGGATTTTTTTCGAACCGCCTCTTTATTCAACGAGAAAGGGACAGAGAGAAAGAGAAAAAGACTCGATATAAAAAAAAAAAGAAAAATAAAGGAAAACGCACATTACGTCGCGCGTTTGCGCGTCCATTTGTCCTTGATGAAAATAAACCAATAATCGTGTGAAAAGAGTGGAATCAGAAATTTGAGTAAAACACAATTGAACTTGATCAATTCGAGTTATCGAGCGACGACCAAAGGGTCTGCGAGCGAAGTGCGCCCTACCGTGATTAGCATTGACAATGCTGAGCTTGGCCGGTTCGGTGTTAGTGAAAGGATCCGTCGTGGAGATTCTTGCCGCGCAGGTCCAGTATCCCGTCTGCTCGTGCTTGGTGCTGGAGAATCTCACGGAGCAGTCGTTGCTGTTGTTCCCGAACGCTGGAAACTGTCGTACCGGCAGCGGGTGGGTCGTGGGAGTCGCCGTGGTTGAGATCGGCGAGATCACCGTGGCTGAAATCACCGATGATAGATCCGAGCGTGAACGGCTGCGATGAATATTCAGCGCGCAGTTGCAGAAATTACGGACGATCAATGCCCTCGATAACCGGACCAGGAAAGAGATAAGCCTACCGTTTCTAAGAGTAGTCATTGGCGCAACGATGCGCTGGAATCCTGAGAATCGCTACGATAATTCGCGATTTTTCACTCATATTTTTCATTAGTCCGAATTAAAGGATGAACGTATCCCCTCCCCTCAAAAAGCAACTAAATAACCAAACCAAACGAATAATCCAGTAAGACTCTGCCTGTCGAACGAAACAAACCGTTGCCCGCCGATACCGAAGAGGGCACCTATTAGGAGTGTGATTTAGTCCTGAGGATTTTTTCCTCAAAAATACGGATCGGTTCCTGCCATTCCCTTGAAATAAAAAAAAAAAAGAAAGGAAATTATAACGGATATAATTATGGGTATAATCACAGATATTTCAAGGACGCGACTTTTCAACAACGCATGTACTCGGGAGCGGCTCGGAAGGGTTAACCGCAAAGAATTCGCGAGTTATTTAATGAAAATTCGCCAAGAAGGATCGTCAAATTGCGACGGGAACAATGCGGTCGCTCTTACTCGTGGAGACCGGCGGGCTTTCACTGATGTCCGGAAGCGGCAGGTGAACCGGTGGCAATGGCTGCCAGGACCACTGGCACTCGGCCACAGGATCGGCGGTCCGGCATGCCAGCAGAACGGACGAGCCGAGTTCCGTTTCCGTGTGCTCCGGGACGTCGACGAACACCACGGAGGTCGGCGGTGGCTTCGTCCCTGGCATCACGTCGTCCATGGAATGACCCTTCGTTTCGGGAAGGGCTGTCTCTTCCGCGACATTTGCGACCTCCACGATCGTACTCTTGTTAACGGGGCTCTCGTCGGCCACGGGAAGACCTGCGAGTGTGAGATAAGCGACCATGTTATCGCAAGTGATTCAAGTCACGGACGACGTGGACGCACTCGCTTACGAAGGGAACATAGCGTCATTAGCGGTTCACGGCACAGATAGTGTAGTTAAACGAAGGAGACGGAAACGGAGGCGGAGGAAGGAGGAGAATGGAAGAAGCAAGCTTCTACTCTTGCAAAATGGCTGCTAAAGGTAATCGGCGGTGCAGCTATTGACGATTAATGGGATCTGCTCTTACCGGGGCGGTCAAAATGACAGGTTCGAGAAAAATGTCTGAGGAAAAATCTTCTGAAAAAGTGCTAATTGTTCACCAAGGCCACCTTCTTAACGAGTTTGATCCTTTTACATACGTTGTCCCTGAGTGACATCCGAAAGATCATACACGTCGTTCATTGTTCATTAGAAAGTTATCAAGAAAAAAGCTTGAAGATCGTGATAAGTAATTTGAGAACTAAAAGCGGTATTAACTCAAGGTTATTAAAAATATAAAACGCATCGTTATGAAGATTCGAATAATTTTTCATGAGAGCTTATAAAATAGTCGTTTGACCGTTCTCTGGTATATTCTCCGCGTTAAGTCTCGTAGATGTTCGCCACGGCCATATTGCACAGTGACGTCAGAGGCGGGAAATGACACGTTGAAAATTCCTGCGTATCATTTTCCCGAATAAAAAGTACGAGAGAATATTTCAGACCGCTGAAGCATACCTGTAAAATACTCCGTACACACCATACTTCACCCTCGATGGTCAATTAACGACCATAAAATGACTGTAATATGAAATTTATCGCATGCGCATGCGCAATCATTCCGCGTAACTAACCTCACATCACAGTCATTTTACGGCTCTTTATCGACTTTCAAGAGAGATAGCGTCCGGTGAATTTTGCAAGCATACCGAAGAAGAGTATACTTCTTCGTACAAATATCTTTTCATTCGGAAAAAAGTGGCACGCAAGAATTTTCAGCACGCGCTTCTTCGCTTCCGTCGCCATCATTAGTCGAGAGTTCCATGGCAGCCCTTCGAAAGGGCCGGAGATACGCGGGCGAAATCTCTTCATGGACCGCATCCGCAGGAAGAGCCGAGGGTGTGCAGGCGGGAACAAGCCAACATCGGGACGAAGAGGCGAAGACGCAACGGCCGATGCGAAGGAGAACTTGAGCGAACGGATATGTGGGACACGATGGGCAGGAAGCTACGATCGTCACGTAGATAATCACCTTGCGTCGCGCGTTTGTCACCGTGTGCGGACGGGATCAGGGTCGGATCGACAGGTCGACTCGGCGACAGAATCGTCCGAGTCTTCAAAAGCAAAAGTAGCCGCCGTGTTCGTAGCGTTCCGTGTGTGCGGAAACGATAAAGCTTACGTAAGTAAGCGCTTATCCGCGAGTCGGAAACACACAGTGTAGCGCCCGAAGAGTACGACTGAATTTGCCTCGAACAGCATGAGAAATAATATCCGTATTCGTAGTTCTTCCTTGAGAAATAAAGATTCCTTACTCCTTATTTTACATTTCATAAATCTTCTTTGACCAAGCAAGGAGCCTTACTGGCTTATCTCAAGGGAAGTCACGAGCTTCCTTGAGGAGGAAATGTTGTCTTAAATCTGTTCGTTTTCGCTGCTCTTCCGAACTAATGCACAAAAGTGCAATAAGTTTTGAGCACTTGATGCGCGGAATAAATTATAAACATAACCTGCAACATTTGCTTTTGTCCCATTACAATTTATTTGTGATGTCGCGCTTTCAAACTGAAAGTATATAAAGGAAAAAAAGGATAATGGACAACGAATTTTTAAATGATTCTGACGAAGAATTTTTTTTTCGATAACCTCCTCAGCGATAAGCTGCGCCAGGAGCATTCGCTCTTGCTCCGTATAATGTACGCTTTATATTTATTCATATTGCAATATGCGTTGCTAAACTGATGTTAGGTTATAGTTGCGTTCCGCGATATTCACTGCTAGTACTAAAAATCTATAGCTCGTGTCACGTATATTATAGAGTTTCAGTACTGACAGTGAATATCGGAACGCAGTCTTCCTTCCTTCCTTCCTTCCTTCCTTCCTTCCTTGAAGGAAGACTCGAGATCCATTTGTAAGGTGGCCTTGGAGATTCAAGGAATCCTTCATCGAGGCTTCCTCCATCCTTAAGATAAGGAAAGACTATGAATACGGGTATAAGTCTCGGTGGTCTTTTCGATTGATGAGAGACGATACACGGAGGCGGGGATGAATCAATTGCGTGCATTTTTGATGGCGTAACAGTTAAATTTCAAGGATATGGATTTTCGAATGAAAACAGCGGCAAGGTTCAAACGGACGTCGCGGAGAAACAGGGTCAGAACGAAGATCAGGGTTAATGAAATCCTGGCGAAAACCACCTTGTGGTAGTTTGTCTGCTTGTCGTTGCTTATTTTAGCCGATTATTTGCAGGGAGAGAAACAGAAGAAAGAAAAGAGAAACGTTTTCGCTCATCGGGACTGAATTGCCCTCGCGAAGATTCTCAACGTTCGATTATTATAGCTATTTCAGTAATTCTACTGCGACGCATGAAATGTACTAAATGGGCAAATAGTAGTATTTTAAATAAAATGAATAAATGAGTAACCTTAATTAGAGTTAACGTTTATTAATGTCTTTCCGAATCTGAAATATAACAACACGTTAAAAAAGAAAAAAAGAAGCACAGTTTTGCAAGTTGCAACATCGGCAATTAGCATATATAGAATATCACATATTTAAGAAAGTGTCTACTAAATCAATATTAATATATTGTGTGCATCTTGAATTGGAAAAAAGTGTCATCTTTGCAGAGTTAAGGTGACAACCACAGTTATATTTTTGGCTTTGTCATATATTGTTGCAAATATGTACAATATTGAAATATCAGTTTTTTCGCGTCATAGACATTTGCATCAGTACTGCATGTATCAGCAAAGTGCTGTATTAGCATGGAGAATGAAATCGCACTGAGGTTCATCCATAATCAGCACACGAAGCACTAAGAGAAACTTATGTATTCCATCTTATTTTAATCGGACTGATTTAAAAGTCATCCAAGCACAAGGCAGGTCATACGTAGGCGACGCCGACAACGAACGCGTCGATAGAGCGAACTACACAGCGATGAAACAGTGAAGATTCCTGAAAAATGTGGAAAATCCTGCGCGCCGATCGCCGAAGCGTCGAGGAAAAAGCGTCCCTGTGCGATCGTACGCTTTCTACATGACGGGTATGTAGTACGCGTGCGCGTGCGCGCGCGCACGCGCGATTACATGTCCGAAGTTGGTCCTTGGTATTGTCGCGTAACGTTCGCCAGCTACCTCGTGCCGACGCCGTCGTCGAGACGAGCGGTAGTGGTCGCTGACACTGGAAGGTCGTTTCCACTTTACATTGACACACTGATCGGCATACGGTTTTACGGCGTTACGTGCCGATCGACCCCGATTAGGCTGATCGAGCGGATTGCCGGGAATCTCCCGCGCGCAGACCTCTCCTTCGCGAGCCAATGGCCGTTGCACCAATTTCGCAAGAATTCCCCATCGAGTCGACCTATCTATGTGTATCGGCGTTATTAAAGCTTCATTATTCGCGTATGGTATTTCCGATCGGCACGTGAGAGTCTTTAGATAGTTAAGTTTAAGTTCTGGCATATCGTCAAAGTATATTCCTGTTTCCAAAATAATCCTATTCTTAAAATAATTCCACTTTCAAAAGCTTAAATAATAAAAATCGGTTTTAATTGGAAGTCCTATTGTCGCCATTTATGAGCTACGCTCTCTCAGACAAACAGAGATTTTAAATAATTTTTCTGTTTTTAAATAATTATGTTTCAGTTTTGACATGTTATCAAAGTATCCTATTTAAAAAAAATAACTCTACTTCTAAAACTACTTCTAAAATAACCCTGTTTTGAAAAATTTGAATAATTTGAAAAATTTGAATAAAACCGGTTTTGATTAAAAGTTTTATCGTCGCCATTTATCTACATATAAGCTATGGTCTCTCAGACCGACAGAAAGTCTTTAAATAATTAAGTTTAAAATAATTAAATTTCAGTTCGCCGACATATTGTTAACGCGTATCCTATTTTCAAAATAATTCTATTTTTCAAAATTTAAATAATTAAGCCGGTTTCAGTTTGAAACCCTATCAGCGCCATCCATAAACTACAATCTCTCAGACTTGCGTTTTCGAACGCAAGGATTAAAATTGAGGGTTAACGGAAACTTGGGAAAGGAAGAACAATTATATATATAAGGTGTTCGGGATTTTTTAGAAAACGAAAAATTGTGGATTAATCAGATCAAATTGAGAAGAAAAGTCAAGTACCATTTTGTAAAAATCGCTATAGTTATTAAGTTATTAATGATTAAAAATTATCACATCTAGAGATTCTTTCAATTGATAACTTGAAAATTTACACACTTAATTGCAAAATGGTGAAGGACTTTTTTCTTCAGAATGACCTAACTTACAATTATATGACGGCTATTGTCTAGCGATAGATATGAGTATATTGAACTTTGAACCCTGAATCTTGAGCCTGTGGCTAAGCACAACAGCCGTCATATAATTTGCAGGTTAGGTCATTCTGGATAAAAAAATCCTGTACCATTTTGCAAATAAATGCGCAAATTTTCGAATTATCAATTAAAAGAGCCTCTAGATTTTCAGTTATTAATAATTTAATAACTATTGCGATTTTTGCAAGATGGTACAGGACTTTTCTTCTCAGCTCGATTAATATTCGTTAATCTGATTAATTTTTCACTTCCAAAAGATCCCGGACACTCTGTATATATGGCAAAATGATCTCGAACTGACGCCGGCATGTTCTAACTTTCCCGCTCACTCGATGGAGCGCGATCGATCCGCAGCGAGGAGTCAGCCAGGAATTTTCGGATGAAGGAAGTGTGCATACATTCCATCGAGTTACGGCTAACTTTCGTGCACTTTCTTCGGAAGATACGCGCGTCTCTCA